TTGCTACCTGGGCAGTTTCTTAAAATTCTTAAACATTTTGAAATGGCGGCTTTGGATATTACCGGAAATCCACATTTTTCGTTTATTCTCGACGGATTTGCATGCAATTTGGTATCCGGATGTTTTTTGGGTTGAGAAAAACGACTTTGACATTGGTTTTTTGAATTCTCCAATAGCGACAAAATGACGGCACAATCTTCTCGGCCACTGCGCAACTTTCTGCGCATAGCGGCAGAAGTTGCGGAACATTCTGTAAATTCGCTCACTTTTATAACGTGATTGTAAAAAAACCTGGGTCCTATTTCCAAAATCCGATTTAAGCGGGCTCATCTACGGCTTAACGCCTGTCGATTCACGCAAAAATCATGGAAATCGGCTTAGTAGAACGCTAAAACGATCTATGACAAAAAGTATAAATTTACATTGTTTAAATGGGAGAATTCGCAACTTTTTACCACGCAATATAAAAAAAACCTGGGTCATCTTTTGAAAATCTAAATAAAGCGGGCTAATTTATAGAGACAATTGCCCGTCGATAGCCGCAAAAAATCATGAAAATAGGCCCGGTAGAACGCTGGAACTAAGCGTTACCAGTTACGCAAAATTAGGAGGTCTCGGAGCTTATAGTAGGTATAGATAGATGCGTCTGAACGGAAAAGAAAGAACGAGTGGTCAGATAAGGGTGCCCGAAAGAATTGAATCTGCAGCCAGATTGTTGAAACTTAAATGGCTTTGTCGACAAGATAAGACAAGACGTAACTCTATCGGCGCTGTGTAATATATATCGATTTTCGATTCTTGTCGTGCCGACATGCCATTATCAACAATCAGGCTGCAGCAAGGCTGCAGAGCTGAAAGAGATACGGTTTAGCGGGTGGAGGAAAGGTAGGGAAGAGAAACTAGGTGTACCCGCCACACTAAAATCGCATGGATTTATTCGTTTAGCATAGTGAAGCTCTCCCCATTGATCAGCACTTATCGTGTGACGACCTCTGCGCACCATCTTGTCTCATCTCCGATCTCTATTCATACGTCTTATCCCAATTCTGCAGTAGATTTTTTCCCTTTGAGGCAGTGAGTGGGAGATAGGGGCATAGCGTTAGGTTAATAGGTACCTATACCTTCATCAACATCAAATTTCTTCATTATGTATTTAAGGGTATTTCTAGAAATTAATGAGGAGAAAATGCAAAGATTTTACAATATTTTCCAAATGGCAGCGACTTTTTTCCATTGATTTTAAGGGATTTGAGGGAGAAATTAAGGTGTCTGAGGGTCAAATATACTACCGTTCACAGCAAAAACGACGTAACTCCATCACAAATTTTGTATTTTTCTTCCACACATACTGCTCCAATACAAGAAAACCTAAGTGTAACAAGGCCTCATGTTTTTTTAATTCTGAGTTCCTGATGGTATGCGAAAATCGACTCGAAAAAATAAAGGATAAATATTTGCTAGTTTTCGTGTAAAATTGTATTTTATTAGAAAAAAAATTGAAAACATTTGGAATGGAGATACGGCGTTTTAACTTTGGACGGCAGTATATCCCACCAATCTTGGTTCAATTTATGTTCGCAAGGCTCTACAGAAAGGACAATTTGTAGTAGGTCTCGATTTTTTTTCCAATATAGAGGCGGTTAGTATGTCCCAATTTTTTCCGTTCTTTTTTCCGCTAAAAAGGGGTGTTGGAAGTGTATAATAATGGTCGAATCAACTAACTGGTGTTGATTTGGGGTTACTTTTTGAATTCAATGGAATAATTTTAAACCTTTGACGGGAACCTTAACTTTTAAGGTCACGACCTCCCCTTTTATCCCCGAGGAGGAGAAATTTGGATTCCTTGGGGTGTTTTTCCTAATCGTCATTGCAGACTTCGACCTAAAATAACAGAATCGCTACGTTCCGCGCCGGTTTTGGGGGTACCCCACTAAACCCCCCCCCTTCCCATTCCCCGGGACGCGTGCTTCTTTTTGAAAAATGTATTTTTAGGGGTGGAAGCAGGAATCTTGGATTAAGTATCAATTCAGCTGTAGTTTTAGTGTGGCATAGTTGATAGTCAACAGTTTTTGAATGAAATCTTTAAAACGGTTTGTCCAAGAAGTTTCTTCCCGTAGCCCACTGGGTGACAAAAGTGTATCCAAAAACTTTCTCTTCGTGACCGACTGTGTGACAGGGCATTTATTCAAGATACGTTTGTCTCCAACCCGCTGTGCAACGAACTGATTTTCTGAAAAATTCTCGTCCGTGACGCACTGTGCGGCCTCGATCCGGTCGGATTCCCGTCATGCCGCGCACCCCCCCCCCCTTTGAGACCTTCAAAGCTTGCCATTTTTAAACGGCTCAGCCGATTTTGCTCAAATTTAATACCAGCATAGTGCTTAGTAAGAAATTCCACTCCAATTCCAACTCCAAACACCCTGTTTATCGATCCTTTTCCATAGGTTTAATTGTCATAACAATCAATAGATCGCAAATCACGCCATGCCACTGCCCCCCCCACCTCCTGCCTTCTCCCCGACCACTGGCAATCTATCACTTCGTTCTCCGTTTTTTTTTCCAGTAGAATGATTATCCTGCTTCTCTATTTCACATCTTAGAAAGTTTTACCTGGAAAACTTTTAAAATGAGGTGAACTTAACTCAGCAGAAATCGGAAAAACCACGATGACCTGCATATCCGTAATCTACGCGACCCATGATTGATGCACAATACATGGTCTTCGGTCCAAGTCTGACATCAGGGGAGAACGCAATAGTGTATTTCCTTAGGAAAATATACTAAACAATAGTTGGTACCTACACTAATGGTGTTTTGGGACATCCTGTATAGTATAGGACAATGCAAATACATAGGAGGAGGGGTATCAACCTCCGATTATTATTGAATTGTACTGAAATCTAGGAATCAGGACTAAAATGTCACGGAGCTCAGTTTTCGTCGGGGTGAGACGAACGTTCGGAAGTCGCTGTTTACAAGGGACCAAGCAGCTTTGATTCCCATTTCGACGGTGTAAGTCGGCAATCATATAACTCGGTTTGCGGCATCGTAGACTTCCTGTCATGGGTACTTTGTTTTTTAAACGGAAAACTACTCAACGGAAATTCTTTAAGACTGCCGTGATGTTTCTTCTCAGTTCGAAGAAAATTGCAAAAACTGCAAGGAATGATGTCAATTTATTCTTTTTTAAAAAAACTCACCTAGAGGCGGCGATTTTCAGACACCGCAAACGAGATAGGTATGTGATTGCGGACTTACACCGTCGATTTGCAGTTCTTCAGGAGAAAATTCCGACCCAACTGTAGGTACAGCTGAACGGCGTGGACAATTAGACATCTTGCGACCGGGTGAGGACTGGCCTCCAACAGCGTTGCGTGAGGTGTAAAAGCTTTTGGTCAATTAGATCGGTATCTGTTTATTTAGCCACGGCTCATTTAGTCACGTGGCGAACTGCAAAAAAATTGTTGCAGTTAGCCACAGTTTTTGGAATGGCCTACCAAATTCAGCGAAAAAAATTGTTTTTTATTCTCCCATTTTTATTTTAATGCAGTGTAAGTGATTTTATTGAAGATCTGAAATAGATTAAAAAGTACAATCAACCATTCGTATTGAAACCATGTTTTATTTTAATAATTTTACCATCCCCCCCCGCAACCCCACCAATGCAATACTGATTCTATTTTACGCTGATATACATGAAAATCTAGGAAAGTATCTGGAGGAATTATTAATCACATGCGTCCAGCTCTCCTTCCTTAGGTTAGGTCATGTTAGGTAAGGTTAGGTAACGTTAGGTTAGGTTAGGTTAGGTTAGGTTAGGTCATGTTAGGTTAGGTAAGGTTAGGTTAGGTTAAGTTAGGTTATGTTAGGTAAGGTAAGGTTAGGTTAGGTTAGGTCAAGTTCGTTTCGAATAGGTTCGGTAACGCTGCAATGCAGGCACGTGGTTTTGTCCTCAGGTCATGTGGCTAACTGCAACATAATTCGTTGCATTTTGCCACACTAATTTTTGTTTCGCTTAGCCATATAGCACCTAGAATCTGTGTCAAGATAAAACATTTTTTGTTGCATTTTGCCACGTGGCTAAATAAGCTGTGGCTAAATGAAACGTAATCAATTAAATCCATTACGTCAGATTTGACAGTGCTTTAGGTTTTATGTCTCCTGCCAATGACTATCCTTGTTAGTTGAACATGAAAAGGAATATGCAGTAGGTATTGGGCGGAGCAAAATTAAAAGCATATCAAAATTACTTGAATATCATGAATAGATTTTTCGGGGCATTGAGGTTTACAGTAAAAATTCAAATCGATCAATTCCAACTCCCACCCTATTATAAGAACGACGGTTGGAAAGCACCTCTCAAAGACTCTTGAAAGTTTGTTGAAACTGAGATTTTAAGAGATCTTTCTTGGGTATTCCTGTAATAAAAATTCGGAATAAAAGTCTTCAAAATGTAGGTAACCAAATTTTTTCCAAGAATTTTTTCTGACACTTGTTAGCGTAAATTTTACCTCATACTGTTAGTTATACTTCAAAGAAAAGGCTTCATAAGAAATATATGTATGCAGTTTTTTTAAGAATTGTCTTCTTCCCAAGTAGCAAAATAGAATGTTTTTCTAGAAAAAAAAATATTAAGAAAATTTCTAGAAAAAACAAAGAAAATGAGAGTTATCCAGAAAATAGAAAGAAAAAACATTGCGAGTCAAAAGTCTGACCAAAGAAAATGGATCAATTTCATAGGGCTACTTTCTGTCAACTTTCCATTTGGAAAAAATATAGAAAATTTATTGAAAGTAGAATTATTTTCTAGCCAATTTCTTAATGTTTTCTTTTAAGAAAATGCAAGGAAAAATTGTACTTTCTTTCTGTTTTCTTGTGTCTATTTTCTAGATCTACTTTATACCTATTTTCTTTCAAGAAAATTGTTCCATCTAGAAAGTAGATATTTTCTTGATGAGCGCTTCCTAGAAAGTAGATGACAATGCTACTCGGGACTTGTACAAGTTTATTAATAGTTTTTTTTTTTTTTTTTTTTTTTTTTAAAAAAAAAAGGCAATGCAACTGAAGTATTTTAGGTACCTACCTATGGGGATCTGAAAATCTCGGAGTGACAGAGACCATTAAACAGCGAAGTCATCTTGACACATTTTAGAAGTGAGTAAATTGTGCATGGAAGTGAAGGAAACGTCTATCCCTTCATAAGGACCCTGGTAGCAATGTAATGACCTGCAACAAGCAATTTTCAAAGTTCCTAGAAAATCCATTAAAATTTGTTTTATCTGAAGACTCTTCTTACTGATCATGTTATTATGTAAAATCAAATTCTGGTGAAATTTACGTCAAGAAATCGCTTTTTTCAAAAGAAACGACCATTATTCCTTAAAGAGTTGTTCAACATGATCCAAAACTTTTAAAATGTTAAAAACTACTGTAGGTAGATCTTTTAAGAGTCTTTAACACTTTTATACTCATATTTTACATACATACCTACGTAAGAGTCTTTTTCACGGCGCTCTCTGACGCACTGTGACGCCTATTTGCCACAATACTCGGTCTTACCACAATCGATCAGGGAGTTGGTACTCCTTCATTTCATCTAAAACCCTATGTCGCTACCCCTTCACCGGGCGTACCCGTCGTCTCCTCTCGGGGAACATCCAATAAAGCTTATTTGTTGGTAGGCTCTCTTCCGTCATCCTAATAAACATGACCGTACCAGACAAGCTGTTTGGTCATAACGACGAACACGATGACATTTTCAACTTCCATGATGTGACGCATTTTATCATTACGGACCCGGTCTCTCCTAGCAATTCCTTCCGACCTCCTCCAGAAATCCATGTCCGTTGCACTTAGCATATCCTGTGTCCGTTTCGTTAGCTGCCAAACCTCACATCCGTACGTTAATAAACTTTTAACTACAGTAATTAATATAACAAATAAAATTTTCTTCTTGTTCTCTTTAGAAATTCGCTGATCCAATTGGATTCCTTTTAACATTGCCATGGGATAGGTGGGGGCAGAAGGCCGCACCCCAGTTTTTTTTCCAAGGATTGTTTAGGTTGCCACCGGGACCGTGTCAGTTATGTTGGCAGTGGTGGTGTTGTTGTGTTGACAAAGTTTCGGACCGAACCGACGCGTTCCCACAAAAATATGAGGAGAGTTAATTTTTCGTAAAAAAAAAAATCAATTTTTTTAGTTTTATTTTGGTCAATTTCAATTTCCGTAGTTGATAGAAACATTCGAACGAGCTGCAGTTCAAACAATAGGATGGTTTGAATATCCCTGAGTCACTTTTAGGCTAATGGCTTTAGCTTTTAATTATGAGGTTATGTTTGCCTACATCATCAAATGGGGTAAAAAGCCGCAGGTCCAATGGGGCAAGAGGCCGCAAGTGGCCTTCACTAAAATACCACTAATATTTAATCTATTAACTAATACTACGAATACTATATCTTTTACTACATATTTTATTCAATATTATTAATATCATTATTACAAAAGATCCTAAAATGTAGGGTATGTGGGGGCAAAAGGCTACACTTTTCCGTTGCGGCCGTCTGTCGGCCGCCGTAGGTATCGCATGAAAATTTCGGAAATGTGGTAAAATATCAACTAAGTATAGATCCTCATCCACGATTAGGCACACTTTCCAGAATTCTGAAAGCACATCCGAAATTTGTTTAAAAAAAAATCGTAAAAATTTCGGAAATGCTTTTAAAATTCGAGAAAGTGTGTCATTTTATGAAGGGGCTATAGTTGTTATTATACTAAATTTCCGAAATTTTCATGCGATACGGCGGCCGACAGGCGGCCGCAACGGAAACGTGCGGCCTTTTGCCCCCACCTACCCTAGCCCTTTCTTGCTAGAGGTTTCTTTCCTTCGTAGTTTGATCTGTCCTGCCATAACAACTCATATTTTACCTCTCGTATTTTTGTTTAAAAATACGAGGAGTCTCCAAAAACCAAATTTTTACCGCTAACTGAAGACTTTGTCTTTTTAAACCTCACAAGTTTTTATTTTATCTTATTAATTTAAAAAAAAAAAAAATCTCATCAGTCATTGCTACTCAGGCTACTGGAACACTAAGAGATTCCGGAGCGCGCGTTGATGGATTCCGCTTGGATTTTTGCTGCATTATTGTCGCGAAGCAAAAACTTTGGAGTTTACTCCAAACAGAAAGAGAAGCTAGATTCTTTGTCGCTGCCGCGGAGCGACAACCCTTCGACCTTTTCCTTCTCCCTAGCGTCGCTCACTCACAACCGATCATTTTTTCGCCCTTCATCGGTTACCCCTTACCGACACCGCGACAGCCCTGAGACACGCAGCGCGGAAACAACCTTCCCCTCGCGACCGCTCACCAATGTTGCCAAATCGTTACGGTATTTATTTTCCGGTCTAAATTCCGGTAAGTGAATCCATTAATTCTCTGTTTCATTTTTTTTTATTGTTTCTTAAATTGCATGATTTTTTTCTTTTTTTTTCTTTGTACATAAGAAGGATGTTCTTGGTCTTTGGGTGGACGTGGAAGTTTTGCCGATTCCCGAAGAATTCAACAAAAGTTTATGGGTACCCTTGTCTTGTTTATCCCCTTAGGAAGTTAAAAGTAGAATTTTAGCAGATTTTCGGAAAAAATATGTATATTTAAGAAAAAGATAAAGAAAGAATAATTAGTAAAAATACAACATATCGCTTACCTCGTCGAGCATTTTGACCGGAAAATGTTTTGGAGCATAGGTAGAGAAAAAAAAGAGGTGTTTGCATTTCAGGCATCTTGGATTTGTTTGATGACGTAGATCGGCACGGACGATTTTTATCATAGATTTTCTTGGAACTCGTGTAGTTTAGAGAAAATACTCATTCTTTTTAAAGAGTTTGAAATTATATCATGAGTTGAATGAAGCAAAAAATTCGGACGGTATGGTCCGTGTTTCATACGTCGAACTCCGGATTTTGCTGGTAGGTATATCGATGCCATGTTGTACAGACCTACGTCACGGGGAGAAAAATCCTAAAGATGCAAACCCCTAGTTTTTTTCTCCATGGTTTCGGAGGGATTTAACATTTTTTTTATCAACAAACCAATGGCGTGGCGTGGCGTGGTTTGCGATGCATCGAAAGATCTGCCATTTAAACCTATAGAAAAAGAGCGATAAGGGTAGCAACGAACACCTCAATAATTGATTCTTTACCATAGCTTCAAATGGGGAAATATCAATAAACCGATCATTCACGCTTCGTCACTGTAACGAACATGTTTCTCTAGTTCCATGCACGTAATATTTGACAGAGGAAGCATTATATACCTATGTTTTCTTATCTCAAGGGACTAAGCTACCGATAAGTCTGGGGACATCATCAATGAATTTCAATACCGAAATTCAATTTTTATACAATTAGCAAATTCCTTATTCCGGGCGGTCTTATCACCACCCACATGAGACCACCCGGCCCGGTGACAATTAGCAAAGCCTCATGAGCGTCAGAGTCCGAGCCTCGGGTATGGGTGGCGGGGAAGCGGAGAGCGGTCGGAGTGGACTGGAAGCGAAGGGTACGAGTAGCGCCGCACAATGGTCCGGCCAGCGAAACCTCAATTCACGCACATAAAACGGGGAATATCTCGAAAACCGCTAGTTGGATCTCTTTCGGCCCATGAGACCTTTGGATCAGAATGATTAGCTGAGCAACACATCCAAGTCTCATCAGGGAACTAACAAGTGGAACTGCAGAAACAGACTCCTTTTGGCCTTAATCCCTGAAAATTTGAAAGCCTGGAGCATGGATGTGTACCTACTAGCCGTAATCCGATGCTCTTCAAAGCTCCGTGAAGTTCGCTGACCAACACGAAGCACAAATTCCAAAACTAGGCCCAGTATTTAGTGCTTCAATGGGCCTGTTGCATGGGAGAGATACAGCCGTGCAAATTGACTTTATAGAGGTTAAATGACACGAAAATTACGATGGTCACATTAAAAAAGTCTGAAATACACTCCTTACTGCGCAATTTGCATTATTTGGAACGCGCTTTTTCAAATTTCCCGCGTCTGGGGGCAGTTTTCTAACGGAAACAATTAACGGTAACTCACGGCTATTTCCGGTCAACTAAAACTGACAACATAACCTAAAAATCGGAGCTCGTGATATCGTGAAATGAAATGTAGAAGGATTGCGTTGGATATTTAAAAGTTGATCGATTTGGTTACCGCATAAAGCGTATATGGACCACTATAAGAGATCACGTTGGGTTTGTAAACAAACTGAAGGAAAAAATAACAACAACAACGACTCGGCATCTTCCGGAAATCACCGAGCCCGCCGTTTGCTCGTTTTCGGTGATTAGAAAACTGCCCCAGGCGCGGGAAATTTGAAAAAGCGCGTTCCTTACAACGCAAATTGCGCAGTAAGGAATGTATTTCAGACTTTTTTAATGTGGCCATCGTAATTTTCGTGTCATTTAACCTCTGAAAAGTCTATTCGCGCGGCTATATCGTTTGCATGCAATAGGCCCATTGTGCCTAATCGTTCTTCAAGTTTCAGCTCATACCTACCGCCAAACGATTCAAAAACTGCAGCCTAAAAACGAAATGGTAAGCCAACATAACGCCCAAAAACCGTTTTTTTATTACTTTGGCGGAAAACTATTGAAGCTAAAAATTGTGTTTTGCGGCTAGCATTTAATGCTTCAATAGTTCTTTCGATATCCGAAGAGATTTTTTAAATCCACGCAGCCGTTCTCCTGTCGGAGTCAAAAAAACAGTTATGGTAAGCCAACACTTTACGCCCAAAAACATTTTTTTTATACTTTTGCGGAGAACTATTGATGCCAACAATTGTGCTTTGCGGCCAATATTTAGTGCTTCGATAGTTCTTTCAACATCCGAGGAGATTTTTAAAATCCGTTGAACCCTTCTCTTGCAAGAGCCGAAAAACTGAGTTTTGAGCTAAAACGGCGTAAAAACAACTTTCTTAAAAATTGTTGGAAACAATTGTGCTTTGCGTCCAACATTTATTGCTTCAGATGTTTTTCCGATATCCGAATTCCTGCTAAAAATGGTGAGTACAAATGAGTGGAAAATCAAAGTCATATGAATAGAATTTCAACCCATATGAATAAAATTTTAACTTACATAAACAGAATTTAACTCATATGAGCAGAATTTCTCTATCCAGTTTTCGCCGAATTCTACCTATGACTAGAGATTCCAACTCACATGACTAGAGATTTCAACTCACATGAGTTCAGCGTTGAATCTACCGTGTCCGATATCTCAGAAATTACTTAGTCACCGCATCAAAAAATTCATAAGAACGAAATGCTTTTAATTTTTAAATTTACATACTACGTCAGTGTCTCCTGGTAAGAAACAGCACTTCTGAAAAATGAAAAAAATTGAATTCATATAAGTTGAACTTTTCTACTCTTATGAGTAGAATATTCTAGTGATATGAGTAGAATTTCTACTCATATGAGTAGGCTTTCTACTTATGTAAGAAGGAAGTTCGACTCATGTGAGTTGGCGAATTCTGAATAACCTACTCGCCATTTCTAGCAGGGATTTTTGAGATCCGTTCATGTTCTCTCGCTAGAGCCAAGAACCCCTCTTATGAACTACCACTTGAACCGCATAAAGACTTTCTTAAAAATTGACGGAAACAATTGTGCTTTGCGTTTAACATGTATTGCTTCCGATGCTTTTTCGATATCCGAAGAGATTTTTGAAATCCGTCGATCCGCCCAAGTAGCAGTGATCGCGATAAATTGCGATTTAATTGGAGAATGTATCGCGATTTTATCGACGTCGCGATTTATTGCAATATTATCGGGAGAAAAATCGCGATAAATTGCAACAAAATCGCGATATTATCGAACGCGATTTTATAGAGATAAAATTGCAATAAATTGCAATTTTTCATTAACGCATGAATGACGCATATGAAAGATGTTTCTATTCCGCCGCCGCCGTTTTTACCGAGATCCGTTGGTAACTTAACCATCTCATTTTTTTTTATCAATTATTAGTATAATGTTACAAAGACAGACTGGTAAGCTTACCTGAAAACCGGTATTTTTACTGATTTTTTCAGGTAAGAATACCACTTTTATTGGTAATCAATCCCCGGTAACTTTACCATTTTATCTCGGTAATTCTACCACAGTCGATAAAAACTATTGGCGTTTTTCCCAAGGTCCATCGGTAACTTTGCCATCTCACTATTATTGGTAATTTTACAGAGACAGAATGATGAGATTACCAATAGAACCTTATTTTACCAACCGTATTTCAAGGTATGAAATAAAATACAGAGGAGGGAAAATTAAAAAAAAAAAAATCCAATGAAAAATCGGTGTCAGTCAACGCAAAGACATAAGTTGTGAGGTTGCGAAGCGCCGATCCATGTATAAGAGGCTTCAATTCGCACACGCAAGTCATATAGCGGTCATAGCATAGTGACAATGTGCTGGCCTTCCACCGTAGCGATTGGGGTTCGAATCCCCGCGGAGGCTCCGGGGATTTTACGCTCGTCTTCGTTAAAGGACCTGACGGCTGAGTCTGACGGAGGTCGGCTGACAACTTTAACCCCTTTTTTTTTGGCGATTTTATCAATCGCTAGGATCATCAACATCTGAGCGATCATCCTCGATCTTATCGCGATAAAATCGCAATTTTTTCGGGCCGATAAAATCGCAATAAAATCGCGAAAAGATCGAGGATAATCGCTCAAATGTTGATGATCCTAGCGATTTTATCGCCGATAAAATCGAGGATAATCGCGACTTTATCGGCGATAAAATCGCGATTTTTCCGTTGAAAAATGCTACTTGGGCGTTCTCTCGCAGGAGCCAAAAATCATTTTTTTGAACCCCAAAGGGAAACTACCTATTTAATTGCTTTCTAGCAATAATTTCGAGTGAGTTTTTCTTCCTTTTTTGAAACACTACAAAGAAGTTCGATAGAAATTGATCTAGGGAGAAATTCCTCTTGAATTAATGAAATCAGAAAAGATATGTTATCGGATTGCGTTATTTTATCATCTTTTTGCACTTAAAGTATGAAATAGTGAGCCGTGCCCAAGTCACTCGCGAGGCGAGTGACTGGGGATCCAGGGGGCAGAGCCCCCGCATTACAAAATAACAATAATATTCATAGACGTAATTGATTTACGCAAAAGAAATGGGATTGTCTCGTCCTACGACGGACCTGAAAGGAACAAATGGGGACTTACCAATTTTTGTACCTCTCCCTGCTTATGTTGCTTCGCAATCCAAGAAATAACGGTGCCGCTTTTCCACGGTCAATCAAGGCCAAGAATGATTGAGCCCGATCAATTCCAACTTGAGACAGCAATACCTCAATCCAAAGGCACAATCGCGGGGTTATTGTTTACTGAGAGAGACGCGAAGATGACGTCCGGCAGGCTGCTGTGAAGGACACAGAAAAGACGCAAACGACTTAAACGCACGAACGGAAGCTTGCTCTCAACAATTCAGTCACAACTCGGATTAATGCTTAGGTTCGAGTGTGAATGATACCTACAAACCTTGTGAATGGTGTATATCTGCGAATATACTTTTATGTGGATTTTTCATTACCTACTAATATTTACGCGATTAAAAATATCTCGAAAAAGGCGATTTTCGGAGGGACTCCTGGGAGGCGGATTCGAACCAACGAGTCAAGGCTATATCTGTTAAGTATCAGATGACATAAGGAGAAAAATTTTAAAAATTATCCACAAAATTTGAAGTACAATATAAAATAATCAACTTATTAAGAGGTTGAAAATAATTAAAATTTTTATATCACGGAAAAAAAATTGCTGATTCAACACTTCAATTGCTAAAAACAATGAGTGCAATGTTTCAACGCAGATTTTACAACAGAAAATGCTACTTTAACCACCCCCGTGGTTAAATTAGTTTACAATGTGGTTAAAGTAGCATTTTTTTGTCGTGAAATCTGCGTTGAAACATTCCACTCACTGTTTTCAGTAAGTGAATTGTTGAATCAGCAATTCTTTTTTTCCGTGTGCCTTTCCACAATTACAACGTGACGCAGCAATGGGCCTCTTAAAGACAATGAGCCTCTCTCACCGCAGCTCCAAAACAGCATGTTAAAATTTTTCGAGTTACTCTCAATTAACGATAGGTATTATTAATGTTTGAGTGACCGAAACCTTACACTTTTCGAAATTACGATCAAGTTTTGAAAAATTTTGATTCGGCTGTAGGTATTGCAGACTGTGAATTTAAGGTGGATCTTCAGCTTTTGTGCAATGCATTCTGAGTACGATCGATATCTTTAAAATTTTAAGTATCCGGTGGATTATTTTGGGAAACTCGACATTTCAGTCTGCAGTTTAATCATGAGGGAATCTTCGTGCCGAAAATCATCCTCCAAAATCTGAAAATAAAGTATCAAAAGTCCTGTTTCCATTTTACAACCAATTTCGATGGTTAATTGGAAATAGCTTTTTTGACTTTCCTTTACGTCTTTGGAATACTTATGATTTTTGCCGCGAACATTCTTGAATGATATATCTACAGACTTGAATTTTGATTTTCCCGAAATAATTCACCGAGAGGTTAAAATTTGAAATGTATCAATCGTGCCCAGAGCGCATGAAGCTTATACCTCATGACGCGGCAGTGGGTCTCTTAAAAACAATGAGCCATTCTCACCACAGCTGCATAACAGCAAGTTAAAATTCTATCTTAAAAATCCACCTTAATGGTAAAACAATCGCAGAATCGATAACAAGGAATAAATATCAAACAAATTAACTCATCAAAAATCTAGAATGCCACAAAATGAACAATGCTTTCACTAGCACCTTTTGCTGGGTAGGTATAGGTACCTACTTAATATCAAAAACTTAGAATAATCCCGCAAGTAGGTATCACTTTTACAACATTCCTGCAGGTTTGAGAGTGTTTATAGTGAATCAGAGATGTATGAAGCACTTATAGGGATTGAGGTCGATTGTAGTGAAAATAACTGGCGGTTCAGCGAAAAACGATTGGAATAACGCACAAATAATGCAATCTAAAATGCGGGTTGGGGCAGGAAGCACCGGAAACACTGACGACAGAGGTTGAGACGATGTTAGGACCAGACTAGTGCCGTTAGTTTTAGGTTCAACGACTGCGAATACGGCACAAGGAAGGGACTACGCACGTGACCCTTGAAGGGGTCTTCTTACCCTACCGTACCTCCCCTCAACCCTCCAGCGAAAGAGTAGTGACACGGCAAATGAGAATGACCCAATGGGCGGCGGTATAAGATTGAATAAAAGACTCCCTGGGAGCAGGATACCCAAGGGGGGAGGGATAGGGGCATTGTGAAAAGAGAAGCCGCTGTGCGATCAGCTGTCGCGTATGACCCTTGCACCTTTGCACTCTTTCAAACTAGAGCCCCTGCGACTCGCACCCTGTTGCCTGTTTGATTGCCAATTTGCGTTCATGCAATGCTCTGCAATAAAAAATACGTGTGCATTAAAACACACCGATTACCTCAGGTTACTCACGGTCTCAACAGTTCCATCTCCTGCTGCACTTGTTGCCAACCTCCCAAGTATAGCATAGTGCAACGAAAATATTAAAAAAAAAAATTAGGATTTACAGCAATTAAATTTCATTTTTGATACCATAAATTGGCATTATTTCTAAATCATTTAGCGAATGACCTACCGATTCTAAACAATCAACAATAAGAGGTTCATGTGTTAGGAAGTTAGGTATAGGCCAGTATGTAATGCAATGGAACTTTGCAACTTACCAAATTTTATTGCAATAAATTTTAATTAGAAGTGATCAATTTTATTCAGGGGATCTATGTAAAAATCGTCATAACTAAAATTAACCATCATTTGTACTGCGTTGCGTTACGTGCCTTTGCGTTGCAAAGTATGAAGCTAGTAAATGCGAGAGATCGGGCATTACATGGAAACTTGGAAGCTTTTATCTTATTTTAACGCAGAAGTTTAAAAGTGGTAAATATAGGGAAGATTCCTCTTAGAATCAATTCTTAAATTATACAATTTGGCGGATCGTGATGGACGTCAAAACTTGCAGTTACCCAAGTAGCAAAATAATATTTTTTCCTAGAAAAAAACTAATAAGAAAACTTCTAGAAAATACCAAGAAAATGGAGAGTTATCTAGAAAGTAGAAAGAAAAAACATTGTGAGTCAATAATCTGACCAAAGAAAATGGATATATTTCATAGGTCTACTTTCTGTCAACTTTCCATTTGGAAAAAAGGTAGAAAATTTATTGAAAGTAGAATTATTTTCTAGCCAATTTCTTAATGTTTTCTTTTAAGAAAATGCAAGGAAAAAATGTACTTTCTTTCTGTTTTCTTGTGTCTATTTTCTAGATCTACTTTATACCTATTTTCTTTCAAGAAAATTGTTCTATCTAGGAAGTAGACCTTTTCTTGATGAGCGCCACATAGAAAGTAGATGACAGTGCTGCTTAAGTAGTCAATAAAACTTTCACGTTAGACCTCTTTCGAAGGCTGGTTTTACAGTTTCGATCAATTCCAATTAGTTGGTGCCGTATATCGACCGGAACACTGCACAGGCAATTTTGTTTTAGGTACGTCGCCTCAACCTCAGTCTTAGACTCGCCGCCTCTTGTTTTTAGTTATATAGTCACTTATCAGTGGCGTGGCATGCTTTGCGCTATTTCGATTTGTCATTCCATTTAAATCTATTGAAAAGGATCGATAAACAGGGTGTTTGCAGCGAACACCTCAATAATCGATTCTTTACCCTCAGTTTAAATAGCACAACAATCGATATATCGCAAAGCACGCCACACCCCTGCAACGTCGGAATCGCCTTCACCGACCGTCTATATAACAGCAAGGACAAAGCTAACTAGAGGGCCCATATAGGGAGGGTACGGACAAGTCGGAAATTTTAAGGTTAGATGATGAAGCTCCTAGGGCCCAAAAGGGTAGCTAACCTATGAATTCAAATTATCTATAGACTGATTTATCGTTCTAATTGATACGATGCGCCGTTGGTGAATCACATATTTGACTCATTTTTGCTTATTAATGGACATTCTTGGCCATGTTGGTTCGATATTGGAATCTGAAGATTGTCAGTGACAGTTTTTGTTTTCAAAGGTTGGCTGTTCTTTTGGGCCCTAAGAGCTCCATATTTCGACGTGTCCGTACTCTCCCTATGTAGGTACTCTGAAGCAAACCAGTGAATCTTCCTTAACTTACTAGTATAGAGGGAACATCCGAATTGTTTTCAATATTAATATGGGGTTTATGGTAATTAACTACTTGTGCAGATTTTTTACCGGAAAAATTCCCACTTACTGATAGCAATTCCGGAGATCGTATCATTCTGCAACACTTTTATGATGCTACACGATTCTACGAAAAGGGTTAGTGGGGCCAGCACATAAACGGGTGAATGGATTCGGTGATAGGAATTCAGATAAAATAAAAGACAAATGTTAACCATGATAACCACTTAATTAATATCATTCAAACAAGAAACACCTCCACAAATATTACATTCCCTGGTAAAAGTGGATCATACCTACTGAATGATGTTTAAATATAATATAGACATATCACAATGATTTATGAAACAGAGTCTCAATGACGTCATTAGGTACGGCATATAATTTCAAAAATTGTCATTGTAATGTCATTGGGACGCCATGAAGACTCTGTTTTTCATAGAGTACAGTGATGCTGCTAGGACTTTTGATTACTATAACATAAATTTTCATGACTTGACGGGCAAGGTGCGCAGATGAGAGACCTTATTTACGGGGACGGATAGAAAATACCTAAGCTCTAGTGACCATTACTTTGATTTATTATTTTTTATCGTTTCATGTTTAATTTCTACCATTTGTGAGTAGCAGCCGCTAATGTCCGTTTTATTTCGTTCTTCAACAACGCGCAACGTTCCATCGCTAATAACCACCTCCATGCCACACTCGGGCACAAATTAATTCATGCTCCGGCCAGCTGCTTTCTCGTCCCACCCTCCGCGACCGCGGCACGTTTTCGCCCTCCCCATGGTGATTTTTCAACCCTCCGAACGCATCGTGTAAAAAACTGCAGAGCAGAAAAATGGGACTGAGGATCGACAGACAGACGCCTGAGAGAATGGGATACGCATGCTGCCGTACTCAATAAGAGAGCGCCGTGGCCGTGGCAAAATTTAAACGTTGCCAAGTTTCCTCTAATAAAATGTTTATACTGAGGAAAGTCATGAAGGCGTTCTCGTAACATTATCAGCTATACCTACCAGAATAAAGTAAAGGGAATATTCTTCGCAACAATCAAAGTAAAGTAGTCACCAATTTCTCAGGATATTCATGATTCATTGGAGGAAGTTTGTTACTTAACATCAGAATGTTTACCTACATGAGTAGGTACAGAGT